TGTGTACATATGCCCAGACACAGTTTTTTAAGAACATCATTCATTCATTAGTAAACCATTCAAAAACATTTATTAAGCATCAGTCACATGCCAGTCACTGTTTTAGGTTTAAGGGAAAGAGCAGTGACAAGACACATAAGTGCCTTGCTTTTCTTGGAGCTTGTCTGTTTGGGGAATCACGCAATAAATCATTATAACATAATTACTGAATTATGGTTGTGGTAACTGCTATGAAGAACGAGTGTAGGATGATAAACTTTTTTTTAAGATTTATTTGAGAGCACGAGAATGAGAGAGAGAGAGAGAGTACATGAGAGGGGGGAGGGTCAGAGGGAGAAGCAGACTCCCCGCTGAGCGGGGAGCCCGATGCAGGACTCGATCCCGGGACTCCAGGATCATGACCTGAGCCGAAGGCAGTCGCTTAACCAACTGAGCCACCCAGGTGCCCCAGGATGATAAACTGTTTAATCATGAGAGTCAAGGAAGGCTTCCCTGAGGAAGTGGCATTTAAACTAAAACTTGCAGGGGGGGGGGGGAAGAAAAAAAAGCAAAGGGTGGGGGAGAGTAACTGGGAAGAGAGGAGGAGGAAGAGTGTAACTTGAAAATGTTGCAGACAGAAAGAAGAGCATGAACAAATACCTTCTGGTGGAAAAAACAAACTGTCCTGAGTCAAGAGAGAAAGCCAGTGGGACTGGTGTGGATGGGTGAAGGGGAGATGTGCAGTAAGCTGAGGCAGGAGAGGTAGGCAGGAGCCAGATTATGTTGGGCCTGGTAAATCAGAAAAGGGATTTGGATTTTATCTAATGTCAATGGGAACCTACTGAAGAGTTGTGGAAAGGGGAACAATATGATCAGATTTAGGGTTTTGTTTTTGTCTTGTTTTGTTGTACATAAATGGAGATGTACTTGTAAATACAAGCAGCAGAAACTCATAAACATCACACAGGTATTGAAAAAGTACAGTCTGCAATCATTATGTACCAGTACAGATATAAACAGGAGTGTTGATGGGGTGGGAGCCGTGGAGGTGGTGGCCTGAGCCTGGAGTCTGGCAAGGCATGCATGGTTCACCTTTTTGTTTATTTTTGAGGACTACTTGTTCATCTGATTTGATGCCAAGGTAGCATTTGGGTAAGCCAGGATGAAATCCCCATTTAAAACTCCCCCCCCACCCCCCGGTTTTTCAAAAGCTTCAAAAGTTTCTACCAAGACTAATCTCATACGTGGGTGGTGTTGGGGACCACCTACAGGGTGTGAATTAAGAGGTGCTAAAAGACCACTCCGGCTCGGCTCGGGTGTAAACTTTCTCTGTCTTTCACTTTCTGCCTAAGATTCTACCGTCACATTTCTGTTCTGCTGAATCTTCAGCTGCCAGATATGGAGTGCAGAGCAGCCCACTGGATCTATGCTGCCTTCCTGGAATGGAACTGCGTTTTTGACTTTTGTTGGGGATGGGAGGGTTTGAAGCTATTTGAGACCACTGGCCAAGCAATGGCATGGAGGTGCATGACACTGGGCAGTTTATATCGTTTTGTTTTAGGTTGGCTCTAAGATCAACTGGAGTGTGGCTATGGACATATGTATATATGTGTATGGGTTTATACAATAAAGATATATGGGTATATTCATGGCATGTACATGACTTTATAATGTGGGAAGCAATAATGGAAAGGAACACAGGCCCTGGGACTGGGCCAACCTGGGTTCAGAGCGGAAGCTTTGTAATCCTAGGAAAGTTATGACACCTACCTTATTGGGTGGTTGGGAGGATTTAATGAGATAATCTGTTTCAAGTCTTAGCACGGGTCCCTGGCATACAGTAAGTGCTTCATAAATGTTACTCTTAACGGTTATGTGTGTGTTTGTCTTTTTGCAAGTATGTGTGTGCCTGTGCATGTGGTGCAGATGTGGGCATCTAAGGGAGATAGAGTGTGTTTAAGAACAAGAGAGGGGAGGAGGGAGGGTGTTGCCCACCCCTGCAGCAGGAGTTCTGGCAGTGGAGCAGACCTTTCTAGAGGGTGAGGGGACTGCAGGGTAGCTCACAGAGGAGAGGGCTCAGCTTTACCAAGTAGGAAAAAGAGTAAGGAACCACAAAGGGCCTCAGACTACTGGAGGCTTCCTGATGAGCATAGAATTTATAAAAGTAGAAATTAATCGAAGGAGACAGGCAACAGAGTGGATTTGATGTTGTTGAAGCCCCAAAAACCCTTCATAAAAGAGAGCTAAAAAAAAAAAAAAGAGTTGAAAATGGTTTCTGAAATTGACATGTACTCAGATCAGGTCTCTGCTCAGAGGACAGATGACTTCATCTGCTCCATCCTAAAGCTCGCCCCTGTTGTGAGCTCCATGCATCTTTGCTTTTTCAAAAATAACATGGAAGAACTTTCTAAAACATGTAATCCACCACCATCTGTTCTCGGGCCTCTTGGTCCCCTCTTAAGATTTTTCCGTGGAGTTGTAGCTAAGTACTTTCTGCATCATAAAAGAATTGTCATCCTTAAGTTGAGAGAGGAGATACAGTAAAAAGAAGAACACCAGTTTCTAGTCCTAGTTCTGCCCCTAACTTACTGGGCAACTTCAAGGAAGTGCTTGATCTTTCTGGGCTCAGCTGCCTCATCTGCAAAAGAAGTTGATGATTGGTCAGCTTGGGTCATTATCTTTTGACTTCCTGCCATCCCTGATGAGGTTTACCTCCCTTCAACCATCGCTCCTCCCCTTAAAGCCGTATCACCTTAGGACGCGGTAGTACAGAGCACAGAACACCTGTCTCTTGTTAGCTGTGGCTCCTGGAGTGAGTTATTTGACCTGCCCGTGTCTCAGTTTCCTCCTTTGCAAATGAGGGTAAAGAAGAGTGTAGTGTATTACGGGCTTGCTAAAAGGATCAAATAAGTTAATATAGGTAAAGTAGAACAATGCTTAGCGCAGATAAGGGCTATTCTGGGGTTAAGCAATATTACTGCGATTATTTACTTTACTGAATACCTGTGTAACTTTACATGAAATGTTTATTGATAAATCAAGACATGAAAGTGTTGAGTATTATTTGGGGCTATGAAAAGATTCCAGTAGGCCCCAGACAGGGAGAGAGGCTGGAACCATTCCTTTTTCAAAGCCCTTCTGTGCTTTGAGTTTTCAAAGATGTGTTTGTACTACCATGATACGACTTTTTTTTTTTTAATTTAAAGAGATTGAGCAAAAAGATCATTAAAGTCTGTCTCAAATCTACAAATTCAAGAATTGACTATGTTTTTTAAGGGGCAGTACTCTTTAGGTGCCTGGCTTATCTTTGTTATAGCTACCGTTAATATGTTTGACCTTTTCAGCAAATCCTTATAAAAGTTTAAAATAAACACAGTCACCTTGGCATGTGTGTAACTGAACATGTTTCAGCTTCTGGGAAAGGAGACAAAATGAGAAAAGTGAAAAAATAAACTATAAATATTTAGCCTTAGGGGCTGGCTTGTATTTGGTCCCTTATAATCTTTTCCCAGAAATCGACTCAGTTACATGGAGGAAAGATCAGTAGCAGAGAATGAACTGAGAGAAAAGCGCTGCTGACTGCCAGGCAGTGAAAGCGTTAACAGGGCTGAGTAAGGCGATCCTCGAAATGAGTAAGACTCAGAGTTGTTAAAGTTTTCAAAGCGCTGCGGCGGCTCTTAGGGAAAAGGAAGCGAGTCGGAGGGAGCCTGGCCAAGCAGAGGATCGTGCTGAGCTGAACTCAGCTGGGGTTACGAGCTCAAGGTTAGTGGCCCCCCGCACATCTCCCCAGAGCTAACATCTTTGGAGAGGAGTCTCAGGAAGGCAAGGCGCCACCTCTCATCCTGGTGTGTCAGGTCCACTTTGCTTCCGGGGGGGGGGGGGGGGGGGATCCTCCCTCCGGCCAAACCTCCGGGGCTGCTCTGCACAGTTTTGGCACTTGTGAGGGACAGGTAACCTCTTCCCGGGAGACTTCTCTCAACTGGAGACTTCTTTTCAGACGTCTAAAAGGAAATTGTTTCTGGAATAAGGATGTTTTCAGACATACACACAGGCACACGCGCACACAACACCTGTATACACCGCTCCATCTTGATTTTTGCAGGTTGTGACCACAATCCAGAATTCCTGTCTGTTTCAGGTGAAACTGAGAACACTTGTCAAAGTAACTAAACAGGCTGTGTGACTTCATCTTGTGGGAGGAATATTGTCTCTGAGGCTAGCATAATCAGGGAAGAAAAGGAAGGGGGGGGGGGAAGGTAGAAAGGGGAGAAGGGAGGGAGGGAGAGAAGGAGGGGGAAGAAAGCTTCCAAGCATCCTGGCCTGTAGTTAAGGCAAACAATTTTTTAAAAATGGGTTTCCCATAGAAATTTTTCTTGTACATTGCTAGAACAAAATAATGGGGGAGGATGCACAGTGAAGGAAATAATTCTACATCTGCACGAGGTTCAGATAAACGTGTCTACGTAAACTTGTCTGCTTGTGCTGCAGATAACAGATAAACCTAGGGGAAGAAGGCCTGGACAGCTTCACAGAAATTGCATTCTGAGGGGGCCTTGATTTGAGAACTGAAACCGATTGTCCGGAGGGGAGAAGGAGCCCCTTTGAGCCCTAGCTGGGAGAGAGGAGTGCGTATGCCACTTCAGCGGGCCAGTTTCCTCTGTTTGCTCTTGCTTGTGCACACAGAGAAGCAATGAGTAAGTCATCAGTCACCATGCTGAATGCTCCCTCAGATCCTCCAGCAGCCAGGAGTTGAGCCTTCTACCTGCTAGCACTGAATCAGAATGAGTCATTTGAAACTTGGGTGCTGGAACAAAGTACTTGCAAACTGCCTTATGAGACACTGCCTCCATGTAGGTGGGATATACCTCTCAGAGCAGTCACATTTTTTTCCTCTCTTCCTTTCTCATTCAAACAGGCAAGACTTCTGACGCTCCCAAGAGACTGGATTTGCCTGCTTGGCTCAGCTCACCCTACAATGTGGACTTTGCCCCTCCAGGTCAGGACTGGAGTTTTAAAATAAAATGGATGATTTGACGTTACTTGATCTTCTGGAGTGCCCCGTGTGCTTTGAAAAGCTTGATGTCACAGCCAAAGTCCTCCCTTGCCAGCACACCTTCTGCAAACCATGTCTCCAGAGGATTTTCAAGGCCCACAAGGAGCTGAGGTGCCCCGAATGCAGGACCCTGGTGTTTTGCAGCATCGAGGCACTGCCGGCCAACCTGCTGCTCGTGCGTCTTCTAGATGGTGTGCGCTCGGGGCAGAGCTCGGGAAGAGGGGGCTCCTTCCGCAGGCCTGGCGTGCTGACCCCACAGGACAGCGGGAAAAGCAGGACTAACCCCAGAGGTCTGCAGTCCAGCCCTTTCCGGCTGGTGCCTAGTATCAGAATCCACATGGACGGGGTAAGAAAGATCTTATTTGTTCATATCATGTCCGTTTGGAGGTTGGATTTGTGTATACCAGCAGCTGGAAGTATTTTCCTGTAGTTATGTTTCAAAGAGTGCTGCCACTGATTTCCCCAGAGATGAGTTTCTGTGGGCAGTGATCATTTTACTGAAACCTGGTGGAATCCTGAGCCTATCTCATCCATCCAGGAATTCGTAGAATTGTGAAAGTCTCCTAGGCTCCCCCTGCTTCTTGTAGAGAAAATAGTAGCACAAAGAAAGCCTTCGTGATTATTTTTCATCTTTCACTTCTGCTGTTTGCGTCCCAACCAGTGCATGGGAAATGCACGGAGGAGGGGAAAAAGAGAGAAAACATATCCAGCTGCCTTTTGCTTTTGAGAATTTTGAGAAGTTAAATGTCAGGTTCTGTTTTAATTTTACGCAACCCCATCTTCCCACCCCCAGTCCTAAAGCGCTAGTCTGACAGTGCTCATTCATGATCCGTTTGAAGCTGTCAAGATACTTGAGCACCCGAAGACTGTGCGGGAGGAAAGCGTATCTGTGGGTGGACTGCTTGATAGGAAGGCTGGGCTGTGAAGTACAACACGTGTACAGGAGCCCTGCAGATGTCTTACTTTACAAAATGAATCAAAGGTACATAAAACGCTCCTCAGCGGCTGCCATGACCACAAGGGCCCAGGAGTGGCGCACAGGAGATCTTAATCATGCTTTTGGTGTTTGGATAATGCGAATCACTCTGTCCAGCCATGTGAATGGATCCTGAGGACTTTATCTGACCTGGCTGTGAGCCTTTTGTGGGAAGCTGTGTTCAGGGCACATCTCGAGAGGAGGACGCAGTCCTTGTGAGTCCAGCAGGATTATGGGCACTGTCACCCCAGCGGGATTATGTGCACTGACACCCCAGTGTGTCAAAGCAGACACAGGAAGCTGTGACCTGAGTCGCTGGCATACTGAGAAAGTCAAGGCTGCATTCTGTGAAGTCTTACCTAATTTAGCCAACAGCTTTAAAGCTACCAGCAGAGTCCCCCAACTCCGTTGTGAAGAGTAACAGTGGGTGGGAGGGTCTTCTTCGGATTCCTTCCCGCAAAGGAGAATAGGCTTATGATGTGCATTCAGGACACTCTTCTAAAATGTTCCTTTCAGTCGCTCACCCCTCGTTCTGTTCAGTGCACCTCCAGGCTGCCCAGTGCAGTAGGGGAAGGTGGAACCGGTGGAAAGTGAGATTGGGAAGAAGCGGGCATTGGTGTGATCTCTTCACTGCAGACTTTTTATTGCCATTGTGCTCGTATGTGTGACCACATTCCAGAAAAGGGCTTGGCGCCCTTCTTTCAGGCTTCCTGTTAGCTCAAGGTCTAGTCATCAATCAGAATCCACAGGCCTGGGAAAGGCCAGGTGGGGGTAGGGCAGCAAACTTCTCTCCAGTGCCCTGTTTTGAGAGAATAGGGCTCTATCTGAAGTCAGCAAATCCTCGTTTGAATTTCTAAGACCCAGCAACCTCCCCCTCCCCCACCCAGCAAAGTCTGACTTGCCTCCAGGTGGAGTATCCTCACACTACTAAGAAAGTGTTGCGAGACTGGGAGGAGGCCAGTCCCTAACATCTTCGAATGTTTTTGTTCAGGTTTTTATCTTTTTTAATGTGGCTGTGTTAAGAAAAGGTAGCAATGAAATGTATCCAACAGCTAACAAGTTTTCGAACTGTAGAAGATTCCAGGCGCCTCCTGGCATAGGGAGCTGTGGGACTGAGAGGTGGTGATATGTAAGAGACAGCCGGTAAGATACTGCATGTCCCTGGAACCCTTTCACAAGGACTTGTAACATCAGACAAAGGCGCCAGTGACGGGGTCGTGCCCATCATCCAAGCCACACTGGAATAAGCCCTTGTCGGGAGGCTGCAACACAGAAGCAGGCTGTGGAGGGCCACCGCTTTCAGGCAGGCCCTGCCTTCGTAAAGATATTCCGCCAGAGAGCAGAGCCGGCGGCCTCCCCCGACCACCCCTGTTCCCTTCGTTTTCTGAGGCATCCTTACTTGCTCATCTCATCCCTTTTGCCTTCCCTCCATGGGGCTGTGAGGAAACCTGTTCCAGGATGTTAGTATGGCTGCCATTCTGCAGCCTGTCTCCGCTTCCAAGAACATGGCCATCTGTCCTGTAAGGGCACAAGCAGGCATGCATCCCTCAGCTAAGAGAACCGAACATTGTCCGGGCTGCCACTCTGGCCTAAGAGTTAGAGGAGGCTCTCGCATCCTCAGGCAGATCCTCACCAAGTTACTTGCCCTCCCTGCCTCCTCACTTTACCCAATTTAGTCAGCAACTAGTAATACTTGCTACCCACCTTCCTCCAGGATAGTGTGAAAACTATCTTTGCAACACACTCTTAGTGCCTTAGAAAACACATGCCCTGTAAATGCAGAGCATCATCATTATCATTCATTTAAACCTGCTATATGACTTTGGACAAGCCACTTAAGTTTGCTGGGTCTCAATTTAAAATTCTATAAAATCGGAAAATATATTGTAAAAACAGAGAGCCATTGTGAGGCTTAACTAATTAGTGTTTACATAGCACTTTGAGATCCTTAGATGAAAGGCATTTGGAAGATCATTATCATAGTAAACATTATTATTGACTGTTTATTGTGCCCTGCCATGCACAAGGAATTCCACAAAACACAGAAGGGCTGATAGCCCTTGCAGGAGAGTGTAATAGGTATTATTATTGAACTTGAGTCTGGGATGAGTCCAGCCCAGGATAATACTAAGTATAAAGCACTCCCCTAAGAGGGCATAAATAACCTGTTGTCGCAGGGTACCATTTTGTAAAACACCCCTTCCAGAGGCCATGATGTTAACCTGACACTCTGAAAGAGTTCACTTAACTTCCTGTGAGTTCGTGAAGCCCAAAGTCTGTTCTGCTCACCTAGGCTCATCTAATAAACGAGCTCATTGGGATTTTCTGGTCGCTCAGAGAGGCCTGATGCTTCTCATGCCAGCCAGTATGCCAGGTGGAACCAGTTGTCACACTTCATGGTGCCAGGCCAAGAGAGAAAAAACAGTCCATTGTGCCTACCTGTCTAAAACCCTCCCAAGCCGATTGGGTAAAAAGAAAACTTGAGAAGTGACTGTAGGTTTCTACAGCATGCAATTATTTCAGACCCAACAGGCGAGATCAGCAGACTCTTGGACAGCCACTGGCTGTGCAGACCCCACTCATTCTTACTGCTTCCCTCACTGCAGTCAGGCCAAAGGAACTTCGCAAGCCTTCAAGGAGATTACAGCCTCCTGAATAGTTGAGCTCGCTTCCTCCTCACTGTGTGAATTTTTAGAAATTAAGACAGGCAGGAAAGCAGTGAAGCTTGCAAGCTGAGGTTTGAAAAATACAAGAATTCAAATCCCGCTACCGCTGCTCCACAGTTGTATACTTTGGGTGAGCCCCTTAAACCTCAGGGCCTCAATTCCCCATCCGTGAATTGAAGATAATAGTAGTGCCTACTTCAGAGGGTTGCTGGGAGAAATAAATGAGATGATTCATGTCAATTAGCTCTCAGCACGGGGACTGGCTCCTACTCAGTAAATGTTAGCTGGTATTGTTATTGAAGTGACTCAGGACTTTTCACTCTAAATTGCACGCCCTCTTTCACCCGCTTGTTAATGGGGTGTCATCCAAAGATGGTCCTGGGTACCCTGATTTCTGGACTGTTTGCTTTTTCTCCACATGATCCGTGGCTATGATTCAGATGCGTGATTCTTCCCAGCTTGCACTGGCTTGGCCACCCACTTCCAAGACCCTTGAGGAGCTAGGAGCTGATTCCAGGAGAAAACCTGATAGCAGCCTTCACTTCCCCAGATAACAAGCTCAAGTGAACACCTCATGTAGGTCAAGAACCTTCCACTCCGTGTCTCTGATTCTTCTGTAACTTCTCTAGTTTTCCTTTCTCCTGACTCTCTATCCCCAACACAAATGAGTCTAGCCCCGGGTCTTGCAGGGCCGGACTTTCTCCATTCTTTGTTACACATCATGCCAACCACACACATTTCTGTCTCACTTGCCCCAGCTCAGTGAGAGCACACCTGCCGCCTCCAGCACACAGACCAGGTGGCTGTGTCCTAGAAACTTCTTCGGCTGGTGTTGCAAGCACCTGAGGGGGCTAGAAATCAGGTCAGAAAACAAATGAGGGACTTGAGGCTGAGTAGAAACCAGAAGGTATCCAGCTCCTTTTCTGGGTCTCAGCTGCTGTGTCTGTGACAGAGACAGTGGTTTCTGCAAAATTTGCAAGGGGACTAAAACTATCCCAAGCCCCTGAAAACAGCAGGCAGGTGCCACCTGGGTCAGCAAGGACCGCATGTGACAGGTGGAGGAAGACATAAAGGCAGGAGCTGAGGTGGAGAAGTCAGGAGACCCAGATGGTTCTCCACCTTCACACACATTTGCCAATCTTTTCAAAAACCATATGGCGCCAAATTGGCTCTGCCCCCAACCTCTGTCTGTGTACATCCTTCCTAGTTACAATCCCTTCCCTTTTATTACTTACCATAATGTTAAGGATATGTCATCAGATGGAGCTGGGTTTGTGCTGGGATTCAATTATTTGCCTTAGGCAGGTCACTTAACCTCTCTTACCCCCAGTTTCCATATTTGTATAATGGAGATAATAATGGTGTGCCTCTATCATGAGGCTATTGTAAGATTAAAATGAGATAATGTATGTCAAAAGCTGAGTACAAATGCCTGGCACATCACAGATGCTGATAAATGTTAGCAACAGAAAATAACAAAACAGTAACAGTGGAGGAGAGAGCCTGCTGGCATGGGATTTGGAGTTCTTCGCACCCACACATAACCATGCAGAGACTTCCATTAAGAAATGAAGCAAAGGGGATAGCCAAAGGAAAGGGAGTTTTAAAAAGACAAGACTATAGTGATGGAAAATAATGGTTCTGAGTGGTTGCTAGAGATCATGGTGTAAGAGAGGTTATGACTAGAAAGGGTCATGAGGGAGT